ATCTGTCATTCAAGGTTTTCTGTCTACTACTCCATCTTCTTTCTTGGGCAAGGGACCCAATCTGTCTAAATTGTATTTGTGGAACATGCCATTTGGGTCATCCTATAAGGAACTGGAGACATGTGAGAAGAGTATTAGTGAGCAACTGGAGTGAAAGATTAAGCTGAACAGGGATGTAGTCAACTCAACAGACATTTATTAAGTGCCTACTATGTACAAAGCACTGTATTGAGTGTAAGAGATGCAGCAATGACCATGACACAGACTGTGCTCTTTAGGAACTTACAATACACATGAAGAAATCATGAAAATAAATAATCATTGTAGAAGAGAGGTGTGATGAGCAAAAAAGAAACCCAGGCAACATGCTAGAAAAAAATTTGAGGAGGAAGAGACCATTTTTAGCTTAGAATGGTGGGAGGTGTTTAGATAAGGCTTCATGGAGGAGATGTCACCTGGTTTGGGCACTGAAGGACAGGAGGGAGATAAACAGAAGGAAATGGGGAAGGAAATCTGTACCCAGGATGGAAGGTGGTATGAAAAAAAGCACAGGGACAAGACAGATCAGGACAGAACAGGATTTGCATGGCAATCTTGTGTGGCTGCATTATAGAATATGGGGGGGGGGCTTTGTTTGGTTTTTTTTGTTGTTTTTGTTGTTTTAGGCAATGGGGTTAAGTGACTTGCCCAGGGTCACACAGCTAGTAAGTGTTATGTGTCTGAGGCCGGATTTGAACTCAGGTCCTCCTGAATCCAGCGTCGGTGCTCTATCCACTGCGCCACCTAGCTGCCCCTATTATAGAATATGTTAAAGGAAATTTGTTGTTGTAGAGACATTTCAGTCACATCCAACTCTCCATGACCCCATTTGGAGTTTTCTTGGCAAAAATATTAGAATGGTTTTCCATTTCCTTCTCCAGCTCATTTTACAGATGAAGAAACTGAGGTAAACAGGATTAAGTGACTTGCCCAGGACCACAGAGCTATGAGGTGTCTCAGGTGAGATTTGAACTCAGGTCTTCCTGACTCCAGGCCCAGTGCTCTATTCACTGAGCCACCTAGCAGCCCATTAAAGGAAATAGTAGGAAATAAAACTAGAAATGTAGGTTTGAACCATATTGTTGAGAGTTTTCAATAGCAGGACCAAGGTAAATGTGAAATTGTGCATTTGGGTTCACAATTCTTTTATACAAGTATAGGAGGAAATCATGAATAAAAACCATTCATGAGAGGCGGAACAGTATAAGAAGCAACACCGTAGTGTAGAAAGACCAAATTTAGAATCAGAGGACTTGGTTTGTCTCATAGCTTTTGCAGGATTCTATAAGTTTTTCTGGGTACTTCTGGACTGGAATGAGAAGTTTTTAGCTGTTTCTCTTTGATTTTTTTACTTTTTTCTTTTTAATTTGTGGAATAAAACAAGCATGTCCATAACATAGTACAATAAAAAGATGATTACACATGAAACTGCAAATCTACTATGTACAACTTGCTATTCCTTTCAAATATACAACAAAATTATCGTGTAAATTTCTTTTTTTTCTCTTTTTAATTCCTTTCCCCTTGCACACCCTAGAGATAGCTACCATTAGAGAGAAATTGGTACATATGTGTGTGTGTATATGTATAGATATAGATATAGATATAGATAAAGATATAGATATAGATATAGATATAGATATAGATATAGATATAGATATAGATATAGATATAGATATAGATATAGATATAGATATACACATACACACATGCATATACATATATATGTAAAATTGTTATATACATACTTCTATTTATCAGTTCTTTCTCTGGGTGCAGATAGTAGTATCTTTCTTCATATGTCCTTTATATTTATTTTGGGTATTTATAATAGACAACATAATTATTCACTCAAAGTCATTCTTAAAACAATATTGCTGTTACTGTATACAATGTTCTCTTGGTTCTGCTAATTTTGCACTTCATTGTTGCATGCAGGTCTTTCCAGGTTTTTCTCTAAAATCATTGAGCTCATAATTTCTTATAGCACAGTAGCATTCCATCATAATCATATACCACAACTTGTTCAGCAGTTCCCCAATTGATGGGCCTCCCTTCAATTTCTGGTTCTTTGCCACCATGAAAAGAACTGCTATAAACATTTTAGAACATACAGGTTCTTTACCTTTTTCCCTCATAATCTTTGGAAATAGACAAGATAGTGGCATTGCTGGGTCAAAGGCTATAGGTAGGGGCAGCTAGGTGGCACAGAGGATAGAGCACCGGCCCTGAAGTCAGGAGTACCTGGGTTCAAATCTGGCCTTAGACCAAACACTTGACACTTACTAGCTGTGTGACCCTGGGCAAGTCACTTAATCCCAATTGCCTAAAAAAAAAATTTTTTTAATTAAAAAATTTAAAAAAAAACAAAGGCCATAGGTAATTTGATAACTCTTTAAGCATAATTCCAGATTGCCCTCCAAAATGATTGGATTGTCTTTATCACTCTTCCTTTTGGTATACTCCTAGGTCTTTACTGGAAGATTTTTGGCTCCTCTAAATCTTAATATGCAACTATCCTCCTCAATATAGTGTAACTTGCTATCCTGGACAAGTCATTTGACCTCTCTCAACATTAGTTTCCACATCTGCAAAATGAGGAAGTTGGACTACATGATTGCAGAGCTTAATGTCTTAGTTCAACACCCAAAAAATTATTTTAAATGGTATTAATAGTATATTTTCCATGCTATCCACATCCAGAGAAGAACTTTGGAATATGAATGCAAATAGAAGCATACTATTTGGTTTTTTTCTTCTATTTTGTTTTGTTTCTTCTCTCTTATGCTTCCTCCTATTGGTTCTAATTCTTCTTTACAACATGACCAATGTGAAAATATATTTAATAGGAATATATATGTAGAGCCTATATCAGATTGCATGCCATCTTGAGGAGGGAGGAGTGGAAAGAGGGAGAGAAAATTTATAACTCAAAAACTTATTGAAGTGAATGTTGAAAACTAAAAATAAATAAATTAATTATAAAAAAGAAAAAGAAAAAATAGTATATTTTCCAGCTCAAGCAATATGATAATCTACTGTCTTCTGCATGGGTTTGACCACAGGTACAATATTGTCTAATTCCAGATACTTTATCTCAAGTAGTACATTGACAAACTGTAAAACCCACAGCAAGACAAGTGGGGTAGTGAAGGGCCTAAAAATGTCATATAAGGAATTATTGAAGGAATTGAAGATATTTGACATGGAAAAGATAAAATTTCGTGGTGGCATTACTATCTTCAAATTATTTGAAGGGCTGTCATATGGAAAGGGCATTAAATTCTGCATGGTACCAGAGAATATAACTTTAGAACCAATGAGTGGAAATTATAGGCGGCAATTTCAACCCAACATAAGGAAAAATATTATGATAATTAAAACCGTCAAAAAACAGAATGGGATGTGAGTTTCCCATCACTGCAAGTGTTCAGCGTTTGGATGACCATCTCTCTGGGATATTGTGATGTGGCTTTCTATATTACGTAGAAGTTTGAACCAGTTAACAACTAAACCCCCACATAACTCTGGTCAACATTTCTATGTGGATTTCTGGGTTAGTTCAATAGAGAAGGTGACAGAAACCAGGATAGTGAATGAGTTTAGCAAAAAAACAATTTTAGAAATTTAAAATCAGTGAGCTAAGGACAAAGCTTTGAGGGACCCCCACTATTTAGGAAAAGAGAAGAATAACTGTAGTCAGCAAAGATAATAAGGAACAAAGGAATAATCCACAGAGAATGAAACATAAAAAGAAAAGTTCTTTGAAATGGAAGCCAAAGAATGAAAAATGTTTGATGCATAGTACATAAAGGGGTAGGCTAGAGCCAGTGGGAACTGGCTCAGGGATTGCAAGAGTTGATTGTTAAATTTTCAGTGTGAGCATTTATGCTTTTGAACTTGGAAAATCCTTCAAATCAGAATTTTATTTATTGTTTTGTTGATTGTCTAGAATGAGGAAAATTATAATAATACAGATTAAACTTAATAGTGTATCATGTATACTTTTTTTGAGAGAGAGCCAGTTAAACATTTATCAGAATACCCTTGAATGCTTATTTCAAAAAATAATGTCAAATGCCACAGTGAAGTAAAGAAGGTTAAGAACTAAGGCCATTGGGTATGTTAAGAAGTTCAGCAGTGACCTTCCAGAAATTAGTTACATTAAAAGTGATGGAGGCAAACACAAGGATTCAGATAGCTAAGCAGAGAATGCTTGCACAGGAAAGGGAGGAAACTGGGGTCAACTGCAGGCTCAGTGGGGCCATAAGACTGATGGTGAAAGGGACCTCAGAGACTATCTAGTTCTAGTCCATTCCCCTTATTTTACAGAAAAGGAAACTGAAGCCTAGGGAGACTGAGTGACTTGTCCAAGGTCACACGAGTACCACGTATCAGAAGTGGGGGGTTGAATCCAAGTTTAATAGCAAAAGGAAGGAGAAAAATAGAGACAAAAATAGTTAGGAAATGGGCAAGGGAAATGCCATAGAAAACCTTCTTAAATATTAGTGGCTCTTAAATCTAAATGCATGGAGAATTCAGAGGTAACCACCATCCTCAGAGATGACTTTCTTTCCTGTGCTGAATATGTTACACCACCACTGTGACTTGTGTTAAATAGATAAAAGGCTGGTATAAATGAGTCAAAATTATGACTTAATTTTTTTTTCTTAAAACACTTGAGATTTAAAAACTAAGGCATATGGAATGTTTGCACATACATGTATGTGTGTGCTTGTGTTTTGAAGTTTTTATCAAACCTACTATAGCTAATATATTGTAGGTGTTTGAACTCTCCCAAATATTTGTGCTCAATGATAAAACTCTCTTTCAGTAAATCCTACCAAAATCCTACCAAAAACAAATCTTTCCTCCTCTCCTTCAGTTAAAAAAAAAGCTTAAAAAAACTAATAAGAGAAAGCCTTATAAGTGATAAATTGTGTTCATTTGTATTTAACTAGGTTCCTCAAGATGAGTGGACCGGGTATACCCCTCGTGGAGGCAAAGATGATGAGATTCCTTGCCGAAGAATGCGCAGTGGCAGTTACATCAAGGCAATGGGGGACGAAGACAGTGGTGACTCAGACACCAGTCCCAAACCTTCCCCAAAGATTGCAGCCAGAAGAGAGAGCTATCTCAAGGCTACACAGCCATCTCTTACAGAACTCACCACACTCAAGTAAGATGGCATAACCCGTAACTCATATAATACAAGTCAGTCTGGTACCAGCTGCTGTGGGAGTTCTGGATTCGAAATACTCAGTGAAAGAGAAAAGGGAATAAGGAGAAATGGGGAAAGTGGTGGCATGTTAAATGATGGTATAATGTACTTACCCATTTTTCCTTTCCCTGGGTCTGATTTCATGTTTATCCTGGTATCTTCAAGGGCAAGTCCTATCCAGACAACATATTATGAGTCATTAGCATTCAAAAAGAAGGGCTTGAATTTTTTTGTCAGATGCTTTATTATCAGAGACAAAAATAGTAAAGGGAAAGTGAGGATCCATATTTGGATATTTATTCCATTTCTTCTCCCTCTTGAAGGGACAAGGTAGGCTACAATGTCCATGCATTCCTACCTCTGGCTGGATGGATTCCATAAACAATAGTGTATATTTCAAAAACATAGACTGGATACTCTCTCAAAGGGCTTGAATTTTTAAAAGTGCTTATAAAAAGACATAAAATGTCAAGGTGACCAAAAGAATCAAAATATTTCCAGTCTCTAAATTGGTTCAGCCATTAAATCTGCATCTTCAAGATTCCTTGAGAATTTCAGTTAGTTGCAAAAATGTGATTATTCAGGAGGATCTTAAATAAGGTAGTGGTTGTTTTAGTAACTGAAAGAGATTTGAAAGTTCTTGAAGTGTGTTTCTCAAGTTTGTCACTTGACAGAAAAATGTATTTTTTAAGTATTCAAAAGTGGGGGTTTTTTGTTTTCAAAAATCCAGCTAAAAGTGGCACTCATGTCAGTTGTACTTGATACAAATGGAGAACAATAGTGAAAATGAAACTATTCAAAATCCTATTATTCTAAGCAAGATTTGGTTCAACTTGGAAGAAAACTTGGTGGGATTAAATCAGAAGTTTGATTCAGTGTTGAACATAATATTATCCACTGAATGCAGAGGAGAAATTCCATTATAATGTGAAAAACATGTTGCAAAAAGTGGCATTTTTTAAAATTACACAGAAAAGTGGTTTTGATGTAGCATTGTGGGAAAATATCATGCTGTACATTGGAGAAGAAAGTTTAATAAAAACTTGACCACTGGCCAAAGCAAGAGAAAAAAATAAACAAGAGAACCAGCTGAAAAGGCTTTTTAAAAAATAGCTAGCTGTAGGCTATGACAAGCATCCATTTAAGAAGCAAAACTTAGTATTTGTTAAATTTTTTTTTAAATAGCAGGAAAGTCCCCTGCAGGGGACAGAAAGGTGAAACTGACTTCAGATCATCCTAGTCATGTATTTTTCATCTCTGACAATCACAAGCAGAAAACAGAAAGGGAAGATTCTCTTCTATTCTCATGGCTTATAGTTTCCTCTTCATCTGTATTATCACTGAAAGCTGAGTGCCCCTTGAAAAAGAGATGCCCACAAAGCATTCTTTTCAAATTAACATACCTAGGCAGAGAGGCAAATAACATGCTACCTACCCTGGCTAGGTCAGCTGAAATAAACTGATGTGAGAAATGTGAAAGACCCCCACCAGCAAGCCTTCCCCTTTTTCTGGCTAAAAATTCCCACTATTAGAGTCACTAATGGCTTCATTCGCAAGAAGCAAGATATTGTACCCAGAAAGCAAGAGCACAACAAAGGACATGAGAGAGTGCTTTGAGTAAGTCATAACTACCATAGGCTCCCCATTGAAGGAATTGGAATAAATGAACTCTCAGGCCTGAGATCCTTTCCTTTCCTTTCCTATCAAATGAAATAATGTAGGTAAAGTATTTTGTAAACCAAAAAGCAGCAACATAAATGCCAACTATTACCATTATTAAATCCAGAGTTCACTTTCTACAAGGCTCTCATTAATATGTAACAACCAAAAGGCAATTATTAAGCACCTACTCTATCAAAAAGTACAGCAAATGAGACCCAGCCCCTGCTCTCAAAGAGATAATAATCTAACAAGGGAGATAAGGCAAGAGACCACTAAATATAATACAAGATAGAATAAAATAAGTACATTAAGAAACATATAAAGTGCTACAAATATTTGGTGGATGAAGAGATTGTTTCTTACTAAGGCAGGGGACAGAATTAGAGAATGTTTTGTGGATGAGGTAGCTTTTGAGATAGGCCTTGAAAGACAGGATTTCAATTGATATAGATTAAGTATCACTTCTCATTGCTTTTTGTTGGGTCAAATGCTCCAGTGAATCCTTTAGACTAGAGCATGAGGCACAAAATCAGATCAAAATTGGTCTAGATACTGAGAACCATCCTTCAGGAAAAGCAACTTAGTGTAGTGAAAAGAGTATATTATAGAAGAGGAAAAAGATTGATAGAAGATAAGGGATCTGTCCATAGTAGCACGACTAGAAAGGTTAAGAGATCAAATTTAAACCCAATTCGCTCCTGAATCTAAGTCTAGGGTTCTTTCTACTAGGCCACATTACCTTTCTAGTCCAACCATCTCATTTTACGTGTAAGGAAATTGAGATCTAGTCTAGTAAGTCATGACTTGCTCAAGATCACACAACTATTTCTTGGGAGATTCAGGTCTGCAAAATAGAGCTCCTACCTTCTAATCTAACTTTCTTTTAAATATTTCCTGTTTGCCAGTACCTTATCTCTTATTCCCTAACTCTTGACCTTAGCCTCTGAAATCACCTTAATGGTTTTGATCAGAACCATTTAATGTGTCTTTGTATACAACTTATCTGTCCCATGTAATATAGTAAACATTTCTAACATAATTTGCAAATTACAAAGTACCATAAAAGTGTAAGTGCATTCTACAGGTACAAAAATTCTGAGATGGAACAGTCCATCACCAATTTTATGGGGTTTCTTTCCTAGTGATGTTTTGACTAAAAATCATTATTTCTATACAAGTTTGATGTAGTTAGTACCTCATGAGAAAAAGATCTCCATAACTAAGGAATTACCATTTCCCCAAAGAGAAGACTATATTTATATTCCTACTTATCTGACATTTAAGTCAACTTTTTTTCTCCTTCCTTCTCAACAATTCACAGCTTTAATGACTCAGAGTTTATTCAACCATGATAACTAAAATTAGTTAAAGTGGGATTGGGGCAACTTTTAAGGTCTTTGACTCCTATTTTCTATCAAATATTGAGGACACAGTATTATTAGATGTCTTTAATTTTTCCTCCTTTCTTTTTTCTTTGTCTATTTTCTAAAGGCTATAGAATAAATATATTTGTTAGACCTCAACTATGTGTCAACTAATTCCCTGATACTTGTTTAGTAACTGATAGTGGTTTAATGCATTAATTTTCCCATGAGGTATTTCCCTTTTAATAGGGAATTCTTGAACACCCCTCCAAAAAAATGAATCTTTAATGTTAGAATTTCAGCCACCCAGAGAGATATTCTAGACTATGATACCTATGCCACTGCCTACTGAAAAGCCTAATAAAATATTTCTTCCATAACTAGGACTATTTCATAGGATTTTAGGCCTTTCTTTTTTCAATTAGCGAGTACTATGTTTATTTTCTCTCCTCATCCTCCCCATTAAAAAAAACCAACTCTGTAGCAAATATGCTAGTCAAGCAAAACTAATTTCTTTATTAACCATGTCCAAAAATGTATGTCTCATTCTATGTCTTAAGTCACTTCTCCAGTAGGAAGTAGATAACATGCCTTCCCCATTTGTGCTCTGGAATCGTGTTTGGTTACTACTGTGGTGATCAAAAAAGTTCAAGAGACATAATTTCTGGGTAATTTAAACATTTTATTTGAAATGCCAGCATTTTATTGGCCCTCTCTCTCTTAGATCAAAGACAATCATGGCAGCAGGCTCATGGCTAATGGAAGAGAGGTGTTCCTGAGAATGGCAATAAACTCTGATTGGTTAACAATTAATGAGAAAATGAATATTACAATGAAGGGCTTGACCTGAACTTTGTATCATTTACTACAAAGAATACTATATACTACATTCATATTTACATACTACAAAGAAAATTAATGTACAAAGCCTGAGCAGAAGGGAGTTTCACCTTAGATTAGACATCTGATCTATTTGAGCAGAGTAGCAATTCCCAGGATGGGGAGAATGTTAATCTTATCTTCCATCAGGCCTGTCCTTGAAAGATTAGACAAGGAAATAGGACAGAGGGGGAAAAGCTGGAGTCCCCCCAATTTTAATAATCAGCTAGTAGCATAAGAGAGAAATAATCATTTCTCTTACTCCATTGATCAGTTTTTTAAGTCTTTCAAATTTATTTGCCTTTACAACATATTATTGTTATTGTATAAATTGAGCTCACTTTACCCTGTATCTGGTTCATATGTCTTCCCAAATTTCTCTGATATGAACCCAGTCATCATTTCTTATAGTATACATTATTCCCTTACATTCATATGCCATCATTTGTTCAGCTATTCCCCAGTTGATGGAAAGTCCCTTAGTTTCCACTTCTTTGCACCACAAGGAGCTGCTATCAATATTTTTGTGTCTTTTTCCTTTTTCTCTGAGGATCATTTTAGAGCAAGAACCGGACTTCATCTATTCAAACCTCCTTATTTTACAGATAAGGAAAGTGAGACAAAGGAAGGTTAAGTGACTTAAACAAAGTCACATTGCTAATAAGCATCAGAGACAAGATTTAAACCCAAGTCCTTTGACTCCAGAGCTAAAGTCCTTTCCATTGTACCAAGTGCCACTCCTCTGTTACCCTGATAAATCAAACTGTATCCAAATTTTACCTTCAAATAAGATTTTTTTAATGGAGGAGAGCGAGTGAAGAATCATTGGAGTCCTGTGAATTCGAAATCAAAATCTTCAGTTAACCTATAGCCTATGGTATTATAGTAAATGTTTCTACTGCAATTCATTCACAAATTTAGGAGACACATAAGAAGTATATGAGAATTGAGTACAGATTATGCTATAGATATGAACACTCAAAACTGGCACTACTCATTACGAATGTTGTAGCCAGAAGAGTGGTGACCAGATGATGAAGATTTGGGGCCCTG